TATATATATATATATATATATATATTCGTTACCTTTTAAGCTTAAGTTAAATTTATAATAAGTAAAATAAAGTTTATGCTCGTAGGATTATATTATTGATTCTACATAATCATTTACGTATATCATCTCATCCAAATCTTTTAACCTAATTTAATGTTTACGGAATCTGTTGACACCGTCATTTTAATTAGACTTTATATAAATCCATGGCTATAAAATTTAAGCCTTTTTTCTAAGTATTAACATTTACACCTTACATTTAATATACTTTTCATAAGTAATTGAGTAAATCTTCAGTAAACCTTTCTAAACATTTTATATATATATATAAAAATTATATGAATAAGTGATTGTGAACATAATCAATTATATCGTTTAATGGAATTCAAAAGATAATTTAGTAAATTGTTAACTATTAAACTTATTTAGGATTTGGTGAAACACGTAATTACACGAGAACAAAACGACGGGCTGAACGCGAAAATCTGAAAAGCGGAGAAGAAGCAATGATTTCGGCTTCTTTCTAGCCAAACCAAACACTTCCTTAGTGCCCACACGCGTTTTCACAAAACTATAAATACCACCACCCTCTCTTAATTCTTCCATCACAGAATAAAAGAGAAAACCTCACTGCACCTTCAACACTTGTTTCTTCGTTCTCTTTCTTTCTGCACTTTCTGTAGCCATGGCATCTCAAGCATTCTCCGTCAACTTCTTCCTCGTTGCTCTCATCGCAGCACTTTTCTTCGCCGTGGCCACCGCTGAAGAATTATCTCCGGCCCCGGCACCGGGACCTGATGCCGGAGCAGGCGCTTCCGTGTCAAGCTCGATGGCCGTGATTGGAGCTTCGATTGTGGTTTCAATGTTTGCGATATTGAAGCAGTGAGTTTATTGGAACGGTGATCTGATTGCGATTGTGTGTTATGGAAAGAGAGAGAGATTATGATATGATGTAAACTGAACCCAGGTGTCGGTGAGATGTAAGAGGATTTCTAATTCTTTTTATCTTTCGTCCATCTTTTCATCCATAAATTAATATATTCTTAATTCTTTATAATTCATCATTACTCACTCTTCACTTTTATATTTATTTACTCCATATAATTAAAATGGTTTATTTCTTATAATTAATAATTATATAAAATCACTAATAACATTAAAAAATCATTAAGAATGATTGTTTTGCAATCTTTATCGATGAATAAAATTAGAGCCATTACAGATATTTCTGTGCGCTTCCTTAGCTACTCTAAGCCACTGTGTCATTTCAAAGCTACTTTGCATTAATATGTTGAAAAATTATTATTTGACGCTCACCTTTTTTTTTTCACTTTCCAATTCATTTTAATGATAAAATGTTATATTTGACTAATAAAAATAAAAATAAAAAATTTTAAAATGATAATGATAATAATAATAATATTCATAGGTACTAAATGGTAATATAACAAAAATATAGTGTCAACATTTTTCCGTAATTATAAATGTACAATATAAGCTAATTATATAAATGAGATATAAGTACTTTTATATGAATGATTAGGAAGATTATCATTAATTCATCTCAAAATATTAAGTTTATTGTCTCCATGATTAGTCACCACGCACATAAGTATAGAATTACAACATAATAGTTATTGCATGTTTTCATGGTAACATGGGTCAATTATCCACTATTTCATCTCTTTTTCATCATCACATCAATAGCACATATTTGAAAGGAGGAAAAGAGATCCCAAAGTTTTCTTGGATTCCTTCACACATGATATACTATATTATTGTAAGATTTATACGTGATTAAGAGTTAAATACATAGAGTTATGGATTTGAAAAATGGGATTAAAGTGAACTTGTTCATCCATATTTACTTATTATGTTAAAAATAAGTCAGTTGAACTTAAAAAATTTAAACTCAGTTTCACTTAGTGTGGATTGATAATTAGCGAGTTAAGTCAAGGATATTTAAATCTTCAAATTTATGATATATTTTTGTTGTAGTACAATAAAAATGGATTAAGTCAACTCATGTTTGTATAATCATATAATCAAAGCATTTATTTTCTCTAAACATTATTATAAGTATATTAGTCATAAATTAAAATTTCAATCTAAAAAAGAAGTAAATTAAATATTAAAATTATTCAAAACATAATTAACCAACATTCTAATATTTAAAAGTATTAAATTTTCAATCTACAAAATTAAAAAGTAATAAATTATTATAATAAAAAATATAAAAAATAATAATAAAATTATTGATGAATTACGACTCAACTCATTTTTAATCCTATTCAAATTCATTTAATTTACGGATTACGGAAGTCAAATCAATTTAATTCACATTTAAAATAATTAAGTTTTAATACAAGCTAATCGAACTTGTGACAAATCAGGTTAACTTACAAAATTTGAATCCATAGATTAAAACACCTCAAATCCTTTATTATATATAATATTTTTACTGATATATAAAAAAGAAATTATTTGTTATCCCAAGACCTTCATGATTAGAATATAATAAGCAGATCCATGTTTTAAGATTAGTCCATTGCTAGTCTAATATACTATAGTTAAAATTCTTCTTTTGCAGTATTTCAATATCTACCAATTCTATAAAATTAATTAAATTAAATATTTTTTTTCTTAAAATTTTAATAAAAAAATATGTTTAGTTTTTAAATTAAATGATAAAGCATTTAATTTATATATGATATGAAATTTAATGTCGTTAGGACAAAGGATATGTAAGTGTGTTATTTGTTGAAAATAATATTTTCTATTCAAGTTTTACAACACACAAAATATTAGATATTTTAAAATTAAATTTAGGAACAAATTATAACCTGTATAACACATTGAATATATATTGTTTAAGAGAGTTAAGGTTATCTATTTATTAAGTTTTGGGTATTTGGATGGTTGTCTTCGTCATCATTTATTTGTAAGTTTCATTAAGTCCAAATGAGAAATTATATGTAGAAGGTACTTTAATGTTAAAATAAGTAAAAATTCAACAATTTTAGTAGTTAATGCATAATAAATATAATTGCATACCTTTGTACATTAAACCTATATTTATAGATTTCAGAATGAACTTTGGATTACTAACGGCCCAATCAACACTAATCATGTTTTGTCGTAAGTTAAACAACGTACCAAGTAATGTCGGTCATGATGACCATGTGGTCATCCTGATTGGGATTTGATGCCTTGAAGTCCTCGTCCGTGAATGTTATTGGTGGCATGGACTTAGGTGTGTGGTCCACTAGGTGGACGGNGTAAGTTTCATTTGGTCCAAATGAGAAATTATATGTAGAAGGTACTTTAATGTTAAAATCAGTAAAAATTCAACAATTTTAGTAGTTAATGCATAATAAATATAATTGCATACCTTTGTACATTAAACCTATATTTATAGATTTCAGAATGAACTTTGGATTACTAACGGCCCAATCAACACTAATCATGTTTTGTCGTAAGTTAAACATCGTACCAAGTAATGTCGGTCATGATGACCATGTGGTCATCCTGATTGGGATTTGATGCCTTGAAGTCCTCGTCCGTGAATGTTATTGGTGGCATGGACTTAGGTGTGTGGTCCACTAGGTGGACGGTCTTAAGGCTTCTCAAGTTCCTTTTCCAAGTAGACGAGGAGGATCTGCCTCTAGCGAACCTTCTTGATATCGTGTTGATCTGACTACTTAGGGGGTAGTCACGACTTCTACTTCCAATCTTACTCTAGCGCCTAGTTTCTCTATGTCGCACGTCACGACACAAATGTTACGTACGACTCAGCCTTCAAGGTGGACTCTTCTTCGGACGGTCGGTCTTGATGTATCTTTGCAGATGACCCGTTTAGATCAACTTCTCGATTTTTTACTGAGGGATGATGATGGAAGCAAGTCCAAGCTTCATGCTAGAACAACTGCATGTCACAGAAGGAGGCCAACATAATGGATTGAATGCATAAGAAATTGATGCACACAAGGTGTTTCTGAAATGATCCAGTGAATGAATGGTGAGTGTTTTAGGTCTCTAAGCTCAGAAGACCTTCAAATAGGGAAGGAAGCTAGAAGAGAGTGTGATGAATTGTCACACAATAGGTGATCCAAGAGTATAAAGGTCTGGAGTAATCTTAATAACAATTCATTTATACTTCAAACATGAATCTTTACAAAGGAGAGGTCCTTCTATTTATAGGTGAAGAAAGACCTCCATTTTTGACTTGCTTATCTTCCAAAATAAAAAACAAAGTGTGTTGGAGAAGCTAAATAACTTGGAGCGCATATTTCACCCAAGCACACACAAAAAAAAGGCTAAATGAAGAAATTTGGTTCGTGGATGCTAGGCGCATGGAAGCAGAGGCTAGGCGTTTTGTGCATTTCGAAAGGCATCCTGACTTCGAGCTTCAATCCGGAAGTCAGGTGATTAAATCCGTACAACACTATTTTTTCTCCTTCTTTTAATTCCTTTGCTTCCTTTAGCTTGCCAAGCTTCCTAGGTTGATTATGCATGGTCTCCAACCTTTATTTAGTCCCTACAAAATAATGCAAATGTATTTAGAAAACAGAAGAAGGATTTTAGTAAGTAATTATCCATAGGAATAATGTGTTAGGTGATCCTTCTTCTTCTTGAATCTACTTTGACATAACTATTATAAGAGGACCTATGTGCATCTTTAGATGGTTCGCCATCAGTTCCTCCTTCTTGAAAAAGATCTATCCTCATATCTGCATTGTCTTGTTGATCATCTCCTATGAAAGGAATTAAGTCGTAGATGTTAAAAGTAGGACTGACACCATAACCTGGCTCTGATACCAAATGATGGAAGCAAGTCCAAGCTTCATGCTAGAACAACTCCATGTCACAGAAGGATGCAGCGAAATGGATTGAATGCATGGGAAATTGGTGCACACAAGGTATTTGTGAAATGGTTCAGTGAATGAAGGGTGAGCGTTTGAGGTCTCGAAGCTCAGAAGACCTTCAACAGGGAAGGAAGCTAAAGGAGAGTGTGATGAATTGTCACAAATAGGTGATCCAAGAGTATAAAGGTCTGGAGTAATCTCAACAGCAATTCATTTATACTTCAAAGATGAATCTTTACAAAGGAGAGGTCCTTCTATTTATACCTTTACCTCCAATACACCACATGAATATTCTATCTAAAGCAAAAGTTGATGGCTTGTTCACGGGTTCTGGGCCTTGCCCTTCCAGCAAAATTAAATGGAAATGAAGTCCATTAAAATACTATAAAGTAATGCACATTATCAACTAGTCCATTCCAATTTGTATGTATACTTCCTCGGTGCAGGCAAAGAAAAGAAGGGCCTCCACTTACGTTCACTCCATTTCACCTCTCAATCTCCATCTCGGGATTTTCAATTTGAAAAGTAATGTTGCTCCCTTCTCCAGACCGTGATAGCGCACACCACTATTTCACCTACTCTACTCCTTCAATCTAAATCAATAAAACAATCTCTCTTCTTCCGTACGCTCCTGCATTCCAGCTCCTTCACCATTTCCTCCACCAAATCAAATCACCATGCACACCATTTTCCATCACCGCTCCATTTCTCTCTCAGCTCATCATCCACACTTATCCAAAAGAAGAAGAAAACAATGTGTGTTGCTATTTCTAAAGAAGAAAAGAAAAACTCATTTCCCTACTGGAATAAAAACCAAGATGTTTCATTCATCCCTCTGTGCTTGCAAAAAAAAATAATAACGGAGAAGTATTGTGCTTCATTTCTCATCCACTATGACAACGTAAAAACTTGTTCAAGCACAAGCATAAAAAACCCCTCAAATAACATTCAAAAGCAAAGCAAAGAGCCATCCCCGGCAGCTAGAAAATAAAATCAGAGAGAGTGCGGCTGGAGCTTCCAG